TCTCACATGGTGCACTATTACGGTGGCCTTATGCCTTATTTAACTAAACTCAGTAAATAATTTTACGCACTAATCGTAGTGTGGTGGTTAGCCATATAGTCACAGACTAATTCTGTCGCGTAATGAATTCGATCCTAACGAACTGCTCGGTACGTTAGCAAAAATTGTTTATGTTATTTACTAGTTCCGCTGATACAAAGAGAAACAAGGTTTTTTTTAAATCAAAATTTAGAATATTCTAAAAAGAAGGAAAATTTTTAAAAATAATTTAAAAAAGTTTTTCTTCTTAATAATAATAACATACAAATTTAGACGATAAAATTTTGTTTTCGTCAAGTTTGGCGTCTTTTTCATCATGCTATGCTCTTTTTTAGCGATCTCGTGGCGGTACCTAGTTCAGGATAAATAAATGTGGTTCGTTTAGATTTGAGTCTGTAAGCATTTACTTCGCTCGAGAATAGGTAAATATAAATCTTTTAAACTTGAGTTTATTAGCATTTACTTGGTTCGAGTTTAGAATCGTTTATATTTGAGTCTATAAGCATTTATTTAATTCAGGAATAGGTAAATAATAGGTACCATCAAAATGGATGAATATTTTTCCGAAATGAAATGAAAAAATCGCTACCTCGTTTAAAAAATGGCAAAAGTCAGGGAATTATCCGATTCAGACAACATTAATGAATGAATTCTATACCGAATGCGTTATTTTATTAGAAAATATTATAAATAAAAATATTTTTGGGCGTCTGTCTACCTCCCTCCCTCCCCCATTTTGATATATGACGTGTACTTTTTATTTTTTTCACAGTTGTATAAAGACAAAACCATGAAGATATTATTTCAGTAAAAAAAAAAAAAATAATGCAATATCAAATCTGAACATAAATAATTCAATAATACTCATTATTTTCTTTCAGATTTGTCTTCAGGGAGACATGGCGCAGTGTATAAAAGCGTTAGTTAGATCCAGTGACAGGACCCAAAGAGTGTGAGTTCAATACCCGGTTAAGGCAGTGGAGAATTTTCAGAGGGAAATTAACCGATTCCATTATAACTGATGACATCCATTAGACATGGCATGTGGAACTAGAACAGTCTACTCCAGTGAGCGAAGTAAAGGGTTCAGTTCAATATTCCAACCACCTGAAGAAGGCCAGAGCGTTGTAATAAATATGGCGACAAGATGAGGACAAAAGTTATAATAATGTAAATTGTGTAAATGATACCTCATCTCAGAAATATAGACAGATACTGGTCAGAAAAAATCTACACTTAATATTTATGCAAAAAGAAATACTTGTAATTTTCAAACGCGATGTTGAAATTAATTCCCTTGCTGTTCGTAAGAAAAGTGATTTTTATTAAATTAAGACATGTTTGAAGAATAGGAAAATATAAAACTTAATTCCTTTTTCGAGTGTGAAACCTTTTTAAAAGAATTTTAATTGTTTTTTTTTTCATTCTAGCAGATGTTAGATTATTTTTTGTATGGATGATCAAAAAAGGAAATAATTCTGAATTACTGCCTTTACTACTCTTCCCTATCGGAATATATTATAACAAATCTTAATTCCGGAATAATGAAAAAAACTCATTCGCTGTAATTTAGTATTTTATGACATCAAAAAGAAAAATAAAAGGAATAGATTAAACTCAAAAATATCATTTCACTAGTTTTTGCCTAATTTATTTTTTATACCTCTAATATAATATAAAAAATATTCATTCTACTAAGTTCAATAAAAGCGTATATAATAAAATATATTCGTAAACTATTTGTTGTATAAGGTTAAATATAATTTATTTTAAAATATAAATACTAATTTCTTGATTATTGTACCGCTAGTTTTTCGTACTTTTGAAAATATCTTTGTTAAAATATTTTCAAGTAAAAAGAAAGCATTACTTTTACAAAATACAGTTAATTAATCCTTAATTTTACTGAATTGATTTGAACCAAATCCCAAGAACAATTATTAGATTTTTAAGAAAGTTTTTAAAATTGTTGTTTACATTTTTCGTCTATAATGGTGATTTGACGACTGAACGTGCCAAAGTTTTAAAAATACCCCAAAACATTGACATACTGAAGTTAATTTTTCTTTTAATACGATTTAAGTTTAGGCTATTATCTTTCGCATAGAACCAAACTTTAACATTAAAGAAAGTAAAGAAATTATTTAGAATAGATTTTTCAGTTCTCTTTAGTAAGTCCTTGGTGGTACCTTGTAAATATTGGTCGATTATATTTGATTTTACAGTGTAACCCGGATATAAGAGACCCGGATATAAGAGAAACCCGGATATAAGAGAGATATTCTCTGGTCCCAAAGTGTTCCCATACTTACCTAAACAAAATAGACCAAGCCCGGATATAAGAGGAACCCGGATATGAGACTTCTTCTCCGGTCTCGACAACTCTCTTATATCCGGGTTACACTGTATTAGCCTTTGTTTGGTTCGGGAATAGGTAGATATAGGTAGTTTATATTTAAGTTGATAATCATTTAATAGATAGGCGTTCCCTTTTGGTAGGGTTTCTTAGCTTTCTCAGGAGTCGCAGTTGGTATCTTTTAGGCTTCGTCGACAGGCATGATTGCAAATAGAGTGAATTTGATTGTTTCAAAGCAGACAACTACTATACGATTCGATCCTATCGAAATATATACGCCCGAAAAAATATCTGCTAACAACTTAATTTCTGTAAATAATTCCAATCTTTTGTTACATAATAATTGTTGTCCGAATTCTGAAAGCGTTCAAAAACACATTGAATCTAGAGAACAGTATCATTGAAGCTTCCATCGACCCATTAATATATTAAAACATTATCTTGAAAGAGTAGAGCTTATTGAAGGTTTCATGAACTCATTAATGCAAGACACCAAAGATATTGTTTATGTAAAAGACAGAAAACAGGAGAGTTTGGAAGAATTGTCTATACTCCCAATTCGATTTCGCTCATTATGGGCATTATTATATCTGTGGTATTATAACACTGTAATTCACGGACGTAACGGAAAGCCTAAAAGGAAAGAGACTGACAAATCTGCTTTGTTTTCAAAGAGAGTTTTATACCATTAAGACATACACAAAACTATATATACATATTTACACGTGTTCCACACAGAGAATAATATATCATATGTCTACACTGTCAAACAGAGTGAAAGGAGAACGAAAAAATGTGGTCTTACATATGGAGAGTCTTCTAAGTTTCTGGGGGGTTATGTTTAGGACACCCCATTCAAGCAGGTTGGATTCATCTGCTATATCCCAAGTGACGACTGGAAACGGCAAGTCATGGGTTTTCCCAAATTGAAGACTGTTAGCCGGAGATGAATCTGGGGAAGATATATTCCCAAACCTCTTGTTTAAAAAAATACGATACAATTCAGCTGCTTGGAAAAGTATTGACTTAATATTGTACAATGGTGTCAGAGTAAAATTCTCCTCAGTTATGGTGGTTTAATTAAATATCCTGTAATGCAGGAAAATATCTCTGAGAAAAGTGAGTGAACAATAAAATACTTGGGCAAGCGGAAAAATATTTGTATTAAATTTCAACCAAATTTGCATCTGGTGCAAGTATGTAATTAAGTGAGTAATGACTTCAATTAGGTCAAAGAGGTGAGCTTATTACCATGTGTTACAGTGGAAGGATTAGATGAACTACTGGGGTGGAAGACAACATAGTCTCCTTTGAAGTGCGCCAAAATCAAACTCAGCTTGGAGGTGAGGAAGAAGGCATCTATATTGAAAATATTTGCGTTAGTGCAAAAATATGAAAAAAATTTCATACGACTGTGGTTTAAAAATAACTCTTGGGCCAGATCATTATCCACGAAATAAAATCATGAGACGAAATTGTAGCAGTAGATAAATTTTAATCTGGTTGTAGCCTTCTTCTGTAGACGATCGAGGCAGGGGTAAGGTGTATTGAGCGGTCAAAAAAGCGTGCAGACGTGCACCTTCCTTTTCGAATCGCGGAAAGCTATCCACTGTTTTCGGCTGCTAGTGACCACTGTCTAGAGGAAAAACGTCCTTTGTCCTGTCAGCTTTCATCTAGAAAAGTCATTCATCAAGTACTGGCTACACTCAGTGTTAGGTTCATTTGACATGGTTCTTATGTAGTTCACTTCACTTAGTTGATAATCGTCCTGACAATAACTATCGAAACAATTTTTTGTAACATTTTTCAGATGTTTTTTTTTCCTTCAACAAGATATCGGCTGACACTGATATCGTTACATCCTTTGTGGGGGTAAAGGTGTGTTTTTGCTAAGTGCCGTACTACTGCAACACTACCAAAGTAATCTCAGCAAATATTACAGATTATTGACACTTAAATGCTTCGTAATTACATCGACAGGTATTTTGGCTTATAATATTTGATTTAAACATTAAAACTGTTAGAATCTATAAAAAATTACATTTTATTTAATAGCAATAATACAGTTAATTATCGGTTTTAAACGTAACCGGAATAACATTCTATATGTATTCTCCTAAAAACAAAACAAAACGAAAACACTTACTATTAGACTTTTTAATAAAAATCTATTTTCTTTTCTCAAAGTAGAGTAATTCAAATAATCTTTTCATATGCGTTGTTCTATATTTATTCGAGATAATTGCATGCTTTTTCTTTCTATTAATCTCGTGTTTCCTTTCAAACGCATTTGTTTGCGAGAACCTAATCCAATTCCCCATTCGTTGTTTATCTTTTTCATTCAATCATTCAACTTGTCGAGCCTTATTGATCATGATAAAATGGGGAAAAATCAAAGAAGAAAAACTAAATCGGGCGTGGGGGTGGGGGTAATGATGGATGATGCAAAAAAATAAAGGAATACAGAACAAGTGACTTCTATCCGCACTTAGTGAACTAAGATTTTACCCAGTGGCTTAATAAATATCTACATTTATGTTACATTAGGAAAAAGGAGAAAGATTTTATAAGAATATCAGAAACATAAATGGCTTATGGCCACGTTACATTGAAACACCAGATTCCCGTACGATCACCGAAGTTAAGCAATGTCGAATCTGGTCAATACCTAGATGGGTGACCACTTGGAAATATGTGCTGGTGGTGTAACGGGTAATGGCTGGGAATTGTTAATTGAACCGAGTTTCAGTTGCATGTGGGTTTATTATATTCACATGCACAAAACCCCTTAGAAAAGGTATGAATCCACCTCTTCTCCCTCCAGCTATGGATTAATTAGTAAGACTTGTATTAGGAAATCATTATTATCGAAAAATTACTATCAAAAATATTTCCTGGCTTTAAATAAACTGCAAAGGGCTGATAAGCTGTAAAAAAATATGAATCAATCAGTCAGGAAGATAACAAATTGAAGAAATAACTATTAGTTTGTCCTTCTTTCTCTCTTTCCTTCTCTATGTATGTATGTATGTATATGGGCGCATGGTGATCGGCTAGAACGTGCGTTTTCCAACCATGAGACTCAGGTTCAAATCTTAGTTGATTTGTTAGGAAGGTGACTTCTTGATGCTATCAACGTGGGGAGCCGAACCTATGTGCCTGAGAACCGCGTACCATATCAGAGAAATTGGATAGATAGAACTGTTTGTAAGCCGTCGATGCCTGTGCTCGCCAGTCACCGTGAGCAAGTATCTAAGCGTACTGGCGTTGTTCAAACTGCTTACGATGCCAGATTATGCGTTATCTCCCAAAAACTGTAATTAAGTTCCACACATAGTCTCTATGGGTGTTGAACCAACACAAATATGCCTGAGCAGACGTCTGCAACAAGGAATGGTTATCTGCCATAGCAGACGGATGTGCTCGGAAAACGAGTAACTAGCCATTATGTATGTATGTATGTTAGGTCACTTGATGGGTGCTACTGGTAATATGTGACCCAGTACTACCTGCCTTATAGTCGGGTTATCAGCCACTAAACCAGTTCCTCCAACAGGCTTGAATAGTGACGAGGCTTGCTAGTCGCCCAATACGATAAAAATAAGACCTGACAAATAGCGGATGGACCCTTTCGTGAGATCAACAGCTATCTACCGTGATGTCATGCATTTATGTGCATATATGTATGTGACATCTGATGAGAAGAAAAACTCAGGAAAACCTTCGGTTGAAGTGATTACTAATTATCTTGCCTTCGCCTGTCACTGGTATTAATTAGTGAAGCTCAGAGAGTGGCAGCCAAGTTGCACATGCATTTGTCATTATAATCCAATAATCTGCAGATGTCTCAGCATCTTATCTCATTGTTTCAGAATATTTTCTCATCTTATTCTGGATTCTCAAGGATTTCTTATCTGCTTTCTATAGAACTGATTTTACTTGAAAGTGAGGGAGTAGTGATGACGTGTGTAGATTTAACTAGTCGTAAGCATATAGCCAGGAGTCTACATATGCGTGGCAGGCGATTTACCCTAACAATATTATCATGTCTTTACGGACAGAGAATGATTTGAATGGAGTTTCTTGCATCTGAGCAGCCCTATTTAGGGAGAGCACTTCTCCCCCAGATTTTGAGGATAGTGCTAGAAAAGATGCAACAGACATTTTCTGTCCAATCCAAGCTGGTTATTTTACTGCGGTTAACGGTGCTGCATTTAATACAGGAACAAAACGAGACAATTTCTAAAACAAAGACTTCAACTCAACATTGGTTACTGGAATGTAGGAACTCTTCTGGATTGTGAAAACACAAACCGCTCAGAAAGAAGAACAGCTCTTGTTACCATAGAATTACAGAGCTTGAACATTGATATAGCTGCTTTCTTAGAAACACGCTTGTCTGATGAGTATTATCTCTTTGAAGTGCCATCAAAATACACTGTATTCTGGTCTAGTAAATCAAAAGGTGTGAAAAAGGATTGTGGTCTTTGGTTTACCATACGAAGATCTGTGGTGTGTAGGTAGAGCAGCCATGTAAACATCAATGATCGAATGATGAAACGTTACGTTCCTTCAATAGATATTCGTTATTTATCACTCCTTTTAATATAGTTACCTCAATGAGATCGCTAAAAAAAGAGCATAGCATGATGAAAAAGACGCAAAATTAGACGAAAGCAAAATCTTATCGCCTAAATGTTTATATACTTATAAAGAGGAAAGATCAAAGTTTATTTTAATTATTTTTAAAAAAATTTTCTTCTTTTTAGAACATTCTAAATTTTGATTAAAAAAACTTGTTTCCCTTTGTGTCACCGGAACTAGTAAAATAACATATGCAATTTTTAGAACTTTTTTTTTTGTGTGACATACATTAATTTGGAAAATCTTGCAAAAATAAAAATAATTGTCGGATGTTAATGAAACTTTCAGAAACTATTCACAGATGATCGAAATTATTATAAATATGTTTTTTTATTAAAGTCACGATAGAAATATTTTTTTTAATTTATTATCCCCCGATAACGAATTTTATGAAAACGCTAGAAATTCGATCGCGTCAGTTTTAGTGATTACAATAGTTAAAAGCAAGCCTTTGAGGAATGCAAATCATGTTTTATTTTGTTTTTAATTGGACCTCCTACCTGAAAATCAGCTCTGAATTGTAACATACAAAATTCAATAAAACAAATATATTATTTAACTTCAAATGCTTTTATTTGCTTCTAGTTGTTTTTATGAATATGGACAATATTTTCTGAAAGCAAAAAATTTTTTCGATTAAAAATGAATATTTAATACAATTATTTGTTATTTTTTATTATAGTAGATTTTTATATTTAAGTTGTTAAAATATTATAAAATTAATTAAAAGCCGCATCGGGTTTCCTAAATGTCCTTATGAGATAGATCTTTTTTTAGCGCGTTGTAAATTGTATCATTTTGACTAATCAGAAGATCCGCAGTAATTAAGAAATGTAATTTTGTGTTTATAATCGGACTGTATAAAGTACGGAAGACCAACCAGAATACAATAAAGTTGTGTTATTTGAGTTAAGCATTGTTATCCGCTTTTAAGGCCTTTACTTTTGCGAAACACGTGTGGAGAAGTTTATTTGATTTTTCAATTTCAACTGAGAAGGGTACCTACAAGTATCAGTATCATCTTATGAAATTTATATGATCTTATTTTTATATTAATCTCAGTTATGACATTTTTCCATAAATGAAATATCAAAATTATTAATAAAATGAATGGAAATACAAATAACATTGTAAAATGTAATAAATGTACATAAAATTATAGTATTTTATGTACACTTCTGATAAAATTTCATAAATTAATTAGATACCTTTCTTATGAAAGATGAAATTTTATCTCACTCTTAACAGACTTATTTTAATTTCTTTATAATATATTTTCCATCAAGCATCGTAAACGTAAAGGTGAAAGCCAAGTACAAAAAAAAAAAAAAAATTAGAGCGCTGAAAGATTTCCTTAAAAATGACGAGGTAAATAATTTGTTCCTTTAAATGTAAATAATTTCACTTTTCTCCTTCTGTAGAACAAATTATCCTCACGGAATCCGTTGATATGTCATTCATCACCTGTCAAATGATGAGAAAGTTTATGACCTCCTTTGTTTTATTTTCAAATTACATCTTTTCGGCGCAGAAGCTAAGTTAAACTTGGTTCAAAATATTTTAAATAAACATTATAATTTCTGATTTTCTTAAAATAAGTTTTGAAAAAATGATAATTGATATTTAAAAGAATTTCAAAGTGAGATTTTCAGTTTTTTTATATAATGGCAAAAAATGCTCAATTTTGCTGACTCAAAAAAACAAGATTTTTAACGAAAGTTTTGGACGTGCTAAGAACGATTAAAAAATGTAAAAAATACCCCAAAAATACTTTGATCTTTCCTCTTAATAATAATATAAACATTTAGACAATAAAATTTTGTTTTCGTCAAGTTTGGCGTCTTTTTCTTCGTGCTATGTTCTTTTTTTAGCAATCTCTTAGAGGTACCTATTTTAATATATGCTCCAAATCTTACGACAAAGGAAGAGAACATTACGTCTTTTTATACAACTCTTGGAGATGTTATAAGATCAATCCCAACAGAAGAGAAAATGATAGTACTTGGAGACTTTATTGCAAGAGTAGGTAAACAACATGGGGCCTGGGAAGCTCTTGGCTCCTATATCATTGGAAAGATGAACAGTAATGGATTATATCAACTTGAATTTTGTTCTTGGCTTGATCTTGTAATCAATAATATCTTCTTTCGTCAAAAAAGAGAAGCATATGGTTACCTGGATTCATCCCAGATCGAAGCATGGTCATTTAATAGATTTTATCATAACAGAGAGGAGGGACATTAGAAATGTCTGCAATGTTCGTCTACTACGTAGTTCTGAATGCGACACAGATCACAAATTGCCTGCAGCGTATTCGAAAAATTCGAAAGCAGCGTATTCGAAAAAAATTCAGATGAATGAGGTGAAAGTTCCCAAACATTTTGATGAGTCCAAACTGACACAGTTGGAAGCTCGGACAGCTTTAGCTAACAGGATAAAGAATTTTAAAACCAAAGTTCATGAAGTTGGAGATTAACAGTCATGAGGAGTGGTTTGATAACAATGATGATAATATTGAGTGGTTATTCAAAATCAAACACTCTATTCATCTATCTCTGTTAAGCAGTTCATCAGAAAACTGTCCGGCAGCGAACGAGCTCTTAAAGAAGAGAAAGCAATCCTTCAGCGTGGGCTCAGAAAGATGAAAATAATTGGCGTAACATCTATAAAAAAGTTCAAAGTAACTCTGACAGGCATGACTCAAAGAATTTGTATTGTGAAGTTTTTGATGCTACCACATCATTTCGATGGCCAAACATTTTACGAACCTGTTCTTTAATCCATCTACAGTCATAGGTAATTTGCCACAGAGTGAGTTACTTCATCAAACGAGCATCCTGCTCACACTTCAAGAGGTAAATCTCGCCATCACACCAATTGACATAGGCAAGGCATCTGGACTTCATGGCATTCCATCAGAATTACTGCATTTTGTTTGGGACTGTGTTGCTTCAGCCGTCTTCAACTTGATCGCTCTGGTTTAGGAAGGCACTCCTGTGACTCAGGATTGGATTTATAGAATCTTGGTTTCAATCTTTAGAGACAAGGATTCAACA